CCCCAAAACCCCAAAACCCCAAAACCCCAAAACCCCATGAATCTAGATTATTTTTGATTAATTATTTGAATAATTAAATTATACTGATTATTTCACATCAAAAGATAATCTCGATAGTTATCATTACTTTTATCTTCTATTCTTAACAATGTTTTTAATCTCAATTAGTTCTTCAACCAATATCTTGAACAAGGGCACACAGGTTAAAGCTATATCAATACTTACTACCAGCCAGAATCCATTTTACCAGCCCCAGGCCGCTTTAGTTTGGCCTATTATAAGTTAACCTAGAGCTGAGCCCATTCCACCACTACCATCAATAACACTAGTCACAATGCACAAAGCTTTAGGGTTATTTTGCAATGCTTTTTATTTTCCTAAATCTGCTGCTACTGAAGCACTAATAATGTTACAAATTGCTGAAAGGAAAAATCCTAGGAAAAATACAATGGCGTAGAGTCCATCTCCTAGATCCTTGTAGTGAAATGTTATCGAAAAACTCAATGTAGATGCACATGCTAATCCAATAAAAGTGGCTGGAGATCTTTTAGAGTAGAGTTTATCAGTAAGATACCCAAGGATAATATTCCCGAAGATCGCTCCAGAATCAAAGCAAGTACTCATATTTGCTTTTTTCTAGTCTGAAAAGTCTAGTTCTTATTTCAAAAATGAGGGCAATAGAAGTAAAAATGATGTCACTGCTAACTTAACTGTGAAGAAACAGCAAGAATACAGAAAAACTCTTGGAACTCTCCAGGATGTAAGAAAGTTTATACGCTTTCCCGATTAATAATGACTAGTACTAAATGAATTTTACTAGATAAATGTTTCTTTTTCTTATGTTTTTTCTTTTACATTCAATTGAATTATCTCCTCATTTTCTATGGCTTATATCTCCTCTAATTGTTCATTCTCATTTACCTCGAGTCCAATGTCTTCAGGCTCAATGACTAGGAACAGCAAAAATAAAACAGCAAATAAGATCATCAGGCAAGCAACAGTGAACATTAAATAGTACCACTTTTCTGCTCCATAAAGGGATAGCAATCCAGAAGCAAGTTAAACACCCACTATATTTCCAATGTTGATACAAGATGTCCATGTACCTATTACAATACCTCTACGTCTTTTTGGAAACCAATCGGCCAGTAGAGCAATGAATACAGCAAATATAAATGAAGTTGAGATACCAATGCAAGGAAAAACAAAAAAGTAATAAACAGGTGAAGTTATTTTGAGCAACCCTCCCAAGCCTTGCAAGAAAAAGAAAAATCCAGAAGCAAGATAGACCACAACCAAAAGCTTTTTTTTGTTAAGTCTATCACCAGCAGTACCAAAAAGATATAGACTTAGAGAATATGATACTAGTTGGGAGAAGTCAAAATTTGAAAGCTAGTCATCCTCAAAGCCAAGTTCAGGCTTTACATGCTCTTTGCTCATAGCCCAGAACTCTCTTTAAACATGAGTCAGTGAGTAAGCAATGTAGGTCATTACGAATAATACTATCTAGGCTCTTAGTAATCGACTTTAGTTTCTCGTAACCATAGCTGGCATTTAGAGGACTGGAGACAAGTGAACTGATTTTGGAGAATCAAACTCGCTTGAGATCATATTTTCATTTTTCATTGCCTTATTAATATTAAAATATATACTCTTTTAAATATCTTCTATAATATTATAATTCATGAATTAGAGAATTTTAGCGAAAAATAGATCATGGGGTTTTGGGGTTTTGGGGAGATCGGA